CTCTCTTTGTGCGTTCCCCTGGCAGGGTGGCTTTCCTATCATCATCAACATGGCCGATGCAGAGCCCAATTCTAGCGATAGTGCGATCAATCGGGCAATTACGTCGGTTCTGGCTAGTTTAGATGGCATTTATGAGCTAAAATGCGAACAAGAGAAGGCACTTAAAAGCTTTTCTGAGTGGTTGGTGGGAGCGACTGTGGGAGCGGAGGTAACTAACCAGGATGGAACCCAGGCTATAGTAATAGGGCATCTGACATTATATTTTTGAAGTGTGATAGATTAAAAACGTCTGGAAACGTGTGGGGTCGTGTGGCGCAGTCGGTAGCGCGTTCGGCTCACACCTGAGAGGTCACGGGTTCGAACCCTGCCCATGTCACCGATCTTGTGCCCTTGGGAAAGGCACTTTACACGACTTTCCTCACTTCACTCAGGTGTAAATGAGTACCTAGCTTCAGCTAGGGACGTCCCTCGGATAGGACGTTAAATGGAGGTCCCGTGTTTGGGGAGAGCCACACCCCACACACGTTAAAGAACCCACTGCACTTATCGAAAAGAGTAGGGGACCTTCCCGGTGTGAGTGGTTCAAACCTTACAGTCTGGTCTCGGGGTTGACATCTTTGAAGAGGTGATATTCACCTGTTATGTCAATCCTTCCACAAATGTGGTAAATCGTCATAAAAAAAAAAAAAAACAAGAGTTCCACGATCTCATACCTTCGCCAAATGATACTAACCCTTGTGGTTGACAAATTTAATTATACAATTTTATTCATTGATTTTGTAAATAAGAGCCCCATTTGCATGGATTATATCAGTTGATCATATTCTCCGACCAATGGCAGCATTATCTTAACAAAAATGCTATTATAGCACTTACTCATAAATTATGCAAATGAGGCCATGATTTGAATAAATTATGTTTGTTGATGTTCACCTTCACTTAATTTCCAAATGTGGCAAGTATGAAATTCCCAGCAGTTACTAACTATGAAATTATAAAAATTTGTCATTTATTATGTAAATTAGGTCCTCATTTACATAATCTATATCCTCAGATGTTTTTCTCGTTCTCACAAGTGATGTCACAAGTGTTTCATAGTTCTATTATCGAACAAAGCAGATTTATAGAATTTCCTCATTAATTATGCAAATTAGCTCCTGATTTGCATAATTGTCATCTGATCATGTCAAGCATCACTTCAACTACCTACATACCAAAAATTACGACAATCCGTCAACCGGTTCTTGAGTTATTCTCCTTTGAAAAAATTTCAACAAATGCACCTGCAGTTCCAGAACAAGCCGCTAGGGGACCCAAACTCATGTCACTTCTTCCCTATCCCAAGAGCTATCTGTCATTCAAAATTCGTGACCCTAGCATGTCCAGATCACGAGATATCAAAACCGGAAGTTCTGCTGCAGTACCTAGGAAAGCCGCTAGGGGGCCCAAAATCTAATCATTTCTAGGTCTCATGAAGACCTACCAACCTACCAAGTTCCGTGCCAATCCATCTATTGCTTCTCGAGTTATCTTGCTAAACCACACACATACATACATACATACATACACACATACAAACGCTACTAAAAACATAACCTTCTTGGCGAAGGTAAAAAAGAAAACATGTAGATTAGATGTTACTAGGATCCAAAAAATGCAGTATTAGCATAGTAACAATTGCAAAGTGCTCAATCTATATTTCTTGGTTAAGATACAATTACAAAGATAATCATAGACTAGATAGGTAACATCGATTTGCAAAACAAATGCAACAAAATCAATCCCAACATCCGAATCCGGAATTAGGCATGCAGCTCAGTCAAAATGTGGAACATTTAGAAAACCAAATAGAACCTCGGGCTGTACCGGTAGTTACAATGTATCACACGGGCCGGAACACCTGTATCGAACGTTACGACCCAGGTATGACATGCATGTAAATGCTTTTATCCAGTGTATGATGTAAATAACAACTGTCCATGTTATTCTCAGGTTAAACATCCCCCTGCACAGACGAGTGGCATCCCTGCTGG